GACACATACCTTAAAGTCTGGAATGCATATTGTCACAATTTAACCTGCCATAAAATAGCATATTATAAATTTTGCTAAATTTAAACCATAATTAAAATGGAATACAGTGAATTTGGTGTAGGATTCTGAAACAATTTTCACTCAGAAATTGCTAGTAAATTTCAAAAATACTTACAAAGAAATGTCAAGCAACACAGTGACTTGACAGTGTGTTGCACATGACATGACACTTTTAAGTAAAAAGACAGAAACAGCATTTTCTTTTAAAACTTCTATTTAAACGAATAAAAATGATTTTATTTTGGTTCACTTCTTACCCAAAAGCTAAAAATTTGATGATTCTGAAGTTGTAGATCGGAGAACAGAATTTGCATAAAATTTAAATTAAAGAGGGGTTTGAAAACCACTTCTATAGAAACCACACACTTGTGTAACTGGACATTTCATCCAAAACGTAGTTTTATAATAGCGACAATTTCCGAACCCCCCATAGTTGAGTTTTTGCATAGTAAAAGCTAAGAAAATCTGACTATACTGAAACTGAAGATTGTATAGGCTACATAATTTTCCATAAGTTTTGTTTGTTTGTTTGGTGGGTCTGTGACTATGTATTTAGAACGTTAGAGTAGCTCTCAGTTATAAGTCTTACAACAGAATTAATAGCAGGACGCCCTCTAGTGGATTTCTTTAGGCAACAGGTTTATTTTTCGGAGTCAGCATAAGATACTAGTCATGTATCAGCGGCATGTCATGTGATTATAATAAGCTGCTCAGTAAATTGCAAAATGGGTACAAGTACTTTATCATGCCGCCTGTGAATAGGCCTGTAACTAAACGTTATATATATATATTTTTTTGTATTTCTCAATCTCACCGTTTCTCTTGCTCTTGGCCCCCCACCACTACAGATTTTAAATATCTCTCATGCTTCAGCTCATGCTCTGGAGTCTGGACTATTTTTTATTAGAAGTCATGTTCATATTCGCATGGCCATATGTTATATAACAGTGGTTCTCAGTCGGGGGTCAATCCGGGGTCCCTAACAAAGATGAATCAAAATGACAATATAAGTTTAATGCTTGTTTATTTATTTGTTCTTTTATGATCTCGAGGGGACTTGTATTATGAAACAACTCTACTGGCTGAGAATCACACGGCCTGGGAGCGCACGCACAGAGATGAGAGTCACGTGACGCTCTGAACTCAACACTATGGCTTCTGAAGACAACAAAATATTGTCTACTTCTTAGGAAATTTTTGTGCGGTTATGGTGGTTCTCAAAGTACTGGAAATTCAATTTATACATCCCGCAAACATGGGACTTGGCATCGTGATGGTAGCTGTTCCAGAGCGCAGTTGCTGACAAGCAGCAAACAGTGCAGAGGTAAGCAACAACAACAGCTTGATGGACTGATCTCCTCTTCCAAATGTTTGCAAAACGGTGGTGCTTGTGTGTTTACATGAACCAAACAAGTTGTGGCGTAATGTATAGTGCAGTGCTCCTTTGAATCTGTAACTTTACAAGCGAGAACTGACAGAAGTGCACTATTTCCTTGTTGTCTGTAAGAGGAACTGAAAATGTAGAAATTAAATGCAGAAATCAAAGATGAATGTATGTACTACATTTTACACTTTCGATCTTTCGTTTTGGATGTTATAAATGTTTATTATTTTTGATGAAGTATGGAAGAATACAGTCACATGGTAATGCTTGACATTTAGTGATGACATCAGTGTCCTCGACAAATCATTAGTTGTTGCTATCCTGAAGATGATTTGATCCGCAAGCTTCTACTGATACATATTTTGTATTGTTATTTGCATAACATTATTTTATTTGAACAATAAAATAATTCTATAATTATTAAATACTGTAATTATTTTGTTTCCATTATTCTACAGGATTTTATTTTAAAATAGTTTACATCTGTACGTCATAAACATTGCATTTAAATGTTTTTATTATTATTATTAGTAATAGTTTTAGTAATATGCATTGTTGCCTTACAGTGTTGAGTGGATTTCTTCTAAAATGTAATATGAAACTGTACAAATTATGCTACTATAAATAGTGTAATCAGTAACAATATTTAGATTACACTTTTAAGATCATCTGTGATAAAATAACTTTTATTTGGATTTCACACGACTTGCACAAAGTACATTAAGTATATTATTCAAGTTTGCAGTGGATATAAAACACACTTTCCATGTATCTCCATACAAGTCCATTTTTTATTCATTATTTTATGTCATGAACATATGTGTAATAGTGTCTACAGAAACTGATAGTAGTATCTTTAGTGCTTTTCTTTTAACTTCCTGTCCTGACATTTTTTTAGATTCTTATAGGGGCCTACAAGGGCTACAGTCTGGTTAACTTAAAGAGATCATGGAGTGGCTAGCACCAGCCTTGGAGAGGGACCTGGGTATTGATCAGCGGCAGACTAGACCCAGTCAGCGACCCAATGAACTGGTGGTCCTGGTCCCAACTCGATGGGTAATGGCCCTGAGAAACAAGAGAGTTACTCGCTGTGCGCGATACGAGTGCTTCAGCGAGGGGGAAATCTGCACTCTCCTCCAGCGCTCTCAGATGAAATTGCCATCTGGTTGGACACGTGTTTGTATCCATGGCCTTAGAAAGCGCAAACTGGGATACCGATTAGCCAGGGAGCCAGGCTGCCATGGGGAGGGACTCTCACAGGACACTTTCATGACTCTGATGCAGGGAGTATCCCAGTCTAATTTCAGGTACAATACTTTGTCTTTTCTAGATGTTTTTGTGAGAATATATTTGTGTAATTGTTGTGTTTTTAATTCTGTTGATTAAAACAATCTGTTCAAAATCACCTTGTATTCAGATTCAAAACGTTCACTATATATCTGATGTTAGAATTGGATATTTTATTGTGCTTGCTTATTCCATATAGAATTCTTCTCTGTGCTGTTACTTTTATAATAACAATGGTCATTTGGTTAACTTTTTCAATCAGTGTTGACTTGTAATATCCTTTTTTATTTCATTTTCAGAAATCTGTGGCGTGAAGCTTACATGACTCATGTGCAACCATATGCCGATTCCATTGAGCAAACACCTGTTTTGGCCATTGATGCTGTTCGCCAAGCCTTACAGAAACTGTTTTGCTCCAGCATTATCTCTACCGATCGAATGTCACCGTCCCTCTCTCCAGCCAAAGAGAAGGAGAAAGACAGCCCATTCCCATCCAACTGCTCAGCTCTTAAACAAAGTACTGACAGTTTGTGTCCAAATGTGCTACCTGCAGAATGCTTGCTGGAGTCGGAGGAGGTTCTTTATGTGGTTTTCCCGTACACACAATACACTGTTCATGACATTGTCACTTACAGTCCAGCTAAGCTGGCTAACAGCCATGCTAAGATATTGTTCATTTTGTACCAACTACTCATAGCAGTGCGCGAATGTCATGCCTCAGGGCTACTGTGTGGCGAACTCTCCTTACTTGACATTGCAGTTGATGAGCAGCTCTGCAGTCGCCTAAAGATATCTCTGGCACATTATGAAAAGTTTGGAGAGTACAGGGATTCTGTGCCGCATGCATTAGGAAGTAAAGCGCCAACAAGTGTTACAGCAAAAAACAGTCAGAGTCATAACAGTGGTGTGAGTGAACATCTTTGTAGAAATTGTCTGGATGAGCTCAAATCTCTGGTCTTAGACTGGGTTAATGGTCAAGTCAGCAACTTCCAATATCTGATGGAATTAAACCGACTGGCAGGGAGGCGTGAGGGAGACCCAAACTATCACCCGGTTTTACCTTGGGTGGTGGATTTCACTGTGCCATATGGAAGGTTTCGTGATCTCAAGAAGTCAAAATTTCGTCTGAATAAAGGTGATAAACAACTGGACTTCACGTATGAAATGACCAAAGAAGCACTAGCAGCAGCTAATGGAAGTGGTGGAAGCAATTTTGCCTCAGACCTTGGTGGGCCGGTAGTATCTGGTGGGTCAGGCCAGTTGGATCACCTCCACGTTCCCCATCATATCTCAGATGTTCTGTCAGACATAACTTATTACGTCTACAAAGCTAGACAGACACCTAAATCTGTACTGTGCAGCCATGTTCGTTCCCAGTGGGAGCCCAATGAATATCCAGCTAGTATGGAACGTATTCAGAGTTGGACCCCAGATGAATGCATCCCAGAATTTTACACGGATCCCTCAATATTCCACTCCATTCACCCAGACATGCCAGATCTTGATATACCTTCATGGTGTAACTCCTACGAAGAGTTTATTGCTGTGCA